GGGTAAAACCCTGCATCAGCTAGTGATTTAGGGATGTTCTAAACTGGTAACTGATCACAATCAAACACAAAATTCATGTTTAAGAGCTCTGGATGAACCCTTGTACTGTATATTAATCTAATTGGTTTTTAATCCATTCTTGGCTTTGGAATAAAAATACTTTATTATATGACTTTATTTGACTATGTTATATGTTATATATGTTATTATATACTTTATTTATATGACTTTATTATATGATCATCTATTCTATAATTTAATTGCTATCCTGCTGAAAAGCAGCTCCCTTTATAAATAGGAAAAATGTCCTGATCAGTGAAGAAACCTCCTGTCTGATGCGTTGATTCAGCACCTTCAATTTGTGATAGGATAACCTACCACGTTCACTCCAAAGTTTACTAAAGCCATATGTGATTGTATATGCAGTTACATCATTTTATACTTCTCTCAGTCTGTTTTCCAGTAGAAAACTCATAGACTGTTCATACCCACATTCAGAAGCTATTCCACAGCTATGATCTTGTCACACTTTTCTTCATTTTTTTAGCTCTACCATATCCTTTTAGAGATGAGGGGTAAGGGATACCATACAGCATTTGAGTTGTCAGTATAGATGGATTTATGCAATAATGTAATAACATTTTGTTTCTATTCTTTGAGCTAATATTTTCATTGAAATATCAATAATAACTCATTCAGGACTGATAATAGCTAGTGCAGAAGCAATCATATTTTCCCCCTGTGTATAAATTTCCATTCCTTTATTTCATATGCCATTTTATTGCCTAGACAAACCATTCTGTGGAATTTTTCTACCACTCTGTGGTCTATGCTTATTTTAATTTTCCTGAATAATTTTTATCATCAACAAGCAGTCATCCAATTTTTTATCCTCTTTTCTAAGTTTCTTATGTTGCTGTCGGAGCAGAAGAGTATTCAGCAAAGATTGTTATGGTTTTTCACTGCTATTCTCCACTTTTAATTTTGGCCTCATGAGAGGTCATTTCTTCATGTGTTATGATGGCTTACTTCCTTCCTTTACTGGCCTTTGTGGAATCTTGTAAAAGTCTGTATGCTAGTCTAAGTGTGTTGAACTCAGTGAATCACATGCTTGCCCGTCACTCCAGAGAATTTTAGTATTAATAAAGGATGGCTTTTGAGGCATCTGTAAAAAAACCCACAGATACCAAGCAGCCACTACCTTGCTCTTTAAGATAGGTATCTAAATGTGTTCTGATCCAGGGCCCATTATAAAAAAAAAGATAATCTAGTTAGTACCTTGATACCACACCTACTTCACTAGAACAGTGGCAGTGTAAAACTTGAGTACAGCAGGGTTTGTAGGCAAGAAAATCCTGCTGATTTGTTGCTTTTCCTTTTTACCATTTTTTTTCTAGAACTCTTACTGTTGAAAATGCATGCTAAACTTATCATAATTAATTCTCTAGTGACTTGAGCAGCATGCTTGATTACCTGTGCATTGTACACTACTTTAAATAATTTGATTAATTTCTGTGCTGTTTGCTTTTTATAGTTTATTCACCTGTCAACACTAAACAAACTTTCTATTGGGCTTCCATGCACTAAAATCTTCATGGAATGTGTTCCACAATTAAAAACGAAAGTGTAAAGCAGAAAGATGACCATTCTCTTCACACAGCAGCAGTACTTTGAGACCAGAAATTGAGCCAAATTTGCTAAAACCACTACCTAATTAAAAGCCAATACTTTCTTCCTATTTCTATTATGCAATTGTTAGATTTTTTTTTTTTTTAACAGATAGAATTTAATACTAATATGATTCTTGCCAGTGACACAAAGGAGAGAAAAGATTGATGTAGCTGGCAGCTGAAGGGAGTCAAATTTTTCTGCTTGCACTTGAGCTACACAAAATAGAGATGATGTGTTTGTGGCTCAGAGGCATTTTATCCAATCTTTGCACTGGAGCAAACGTTTACACAATGCATTTGGCAATAAAGAAAGATGAACTCTTTGTAATTTTAGCAGATCATATTTTTGGAAGTGTTTGATGGGAGGATGCCCATAGAATTCAAGGTGGGATTGATAACAGCAAACGTTAAAATTTATTGGGAAATTGAATTGAAGATGTGTAAAACTAGTACACCAGTTTAAAAATATTTTTTGTGTATGATTATTGTAATGAAAAACAAGGCAAAAAATATTAAACTGCGCTAGCTAGAGCTCTCTTGACTTTCTTCCTGGGGATTTATAATTGGAAGATGAATTTCTAAGGTCTGAATCTCAGAAAATGTGACCAGATAGATTAGCATCATAAACATAAACATTTTTATTTCATATTCAAAAGGCCTAGCTAAAAGTTTCAAGACAATGGTTTCATCTTCTGTATTGCTAGAATTTCATACCTCTGTTGTGAAAAAAAATTTATACATAACTTCTAGAAATAAATATGAATAATATTACTTCCTTCATTCTATCAGGTTTGCACATCAAATGTTCTTTTAAGGCAAAGTCTTCTTTTTGGGTTGTACATAGAAGTATTATAGAATCATAGAACACCTTGATTTGGAAGGGACTTGTAAGGTCTGCTGAGCCCAGTCCCTACTCCTTGGAAATAAAGATTTTCAAAAAAAGTCCAAATAAGTAATTGTTAATTATTACTTGTTAAAACTCTAGGGTTGAGGAATGAATCAGTTGAAAAGGTGAAGTGCTGGCAGTAAAGTGCATCTTTTGCTCTCTGCCTATCACTCCGAGCCTGTGGGGAATTCAGTGTGAAGTACCTCTGTGGGGTGCTGGCATCTTGACTTGTGGGCCCTTCAGTGAAACACCAATACTTGTTTTGTTGCCTGTGTTTGATTTTGTTTGCCTGTACTGATTATGGATAGGGCTATTTTGGTAGCTTTACCATAACCTGCTCTGCACATTAAAGAGGTGTCCCAAGGGTGAAATTAAATTCTAATAAATGAGTTTCTTAAGTACTCTTCATTTATTTACGTATCTTACATTTAAAGTTTGTGTTAAAACTTAGAACGATGGTATGATTTGTGATAGACATATTACAGGTAGTATTTTTATAGCTGTATAAATCTGGAGGCTTTTTGGTTGTTCTCTTTCAGCTCTTTTTTGAAGGATTTATTCTCCTGATGCCATATACTGCAGTTCTTTGCATGTAGGATCACTCTGTCCTTTGTACGAGGTTCACTTTTGAGGGCTTAAAATACTTAGCTCTGAACCAAATGCCAGGCTCTTTGTTAACACTAAATGATTACTGGCTTCTACACTATTAACTTTGTACAGCCTAAAAAGATAATAATGAAGCTGTCAGTCAACATAGGAAGTTCCACAGCTATTAATTCATCTACTCTGCTAATGCTTGTGCAGATTTTTACCATGTGACCCCATCACAGAAGGCAGAAAATACCACTGAATGCAGTGAATAAAAATACAAGACCAACTGTATAGATTTTAAAATGTGATGAAAATAAGCTTTAATCTATACAGAAGGAGCAAGCTACATGATCAATAAAATCTCAAGTATTGACTGACTGCACAAATTGGACAGGCTAGTAACTAATTTGCTCTCTTGCTCAAGCAGTATATTTACACGTGGTTTTAAAGTGAGCGTGAGAGTCACTAACTCACAATGTCAAAGGACAGCTGTACCATGACCAGCCAAGCTTGGTAATTAAATGGCACACAGGTTAATTGCAGACACAAGCAGGAGACTGGTGTTAAAGGACTGAAAGGAGTCAGTTGAAAGGTGTTGTCCATTTGAGGACAAAAAGAAATGACATTATAAAGGGAGCTTTATCTGAGTTCAATGGTGACCAATTCAGTTTTTATTAAAACCTTATTTTAAGGCTATAATAGTATAATAGGGCTGGAAATGGAATGAATTGCAAAAGAGTAAGTGTTGGGCCAGTTGAAATTGTCATAAAATGAATCTAAAAGTGACCCCGTAAGTCCATACATCAGCCTTTTATTTTGGTTGGCTGGTTGGTTTGGGTTGGGCTTTTTTTGTTTAACCTCTAGCCACAGCAAATTTGCTTTTGAAGATGTAAAATTGGTTGATTTAATGTGAGGGGTACTAATATATACATTCAACACATACTATCAGTTTGTCTCCATGGATCAATTTTATTACAGCTAAAAGGTTTTGATCGGTACTTAGTGGGAAGAAGAGTAACCCACCTTAATGAATGTTTTTCATATGGTTTATAATCTTTATAGCTTACTGCTGCATATAACTTGGCTCAGCAGAGCACTCAGACGTGCTTAAATGCTTTGCTGAATGAGAATTATAATACATCACTCAGCATGTGCACCAGGAAAAATAACAACAGCACTACCATAAAATATATGATGTTTTATATATTATTTTCTTCGTGAGGAAAGGGAAACATGACGTATGCTATTCATGTTGGTGGATGAATTACCCAGCTGCTCTGATGACAAAGGTGTCTGTGAAGTCCTAAGCAGAACAGCAACACAGTGCAAGTGCTGCAGTGTGTGAAGGAAAAGCTTTTCCATGGAGATGTCAGCAGAGAAGAAGTATTATAAAGAGTTTTCATAGGTACATTGTGTACAATATTCCAGTGGCCAGTTGGGTAGGAACACAAAGTTTGATTGTGAAACATAAAAATTTATGATGCTTTGTATGTTTCTGTACTTTCTCCTTTGGCATCCTGCTGTTGTTCATGATAGAACCAGAAGGTACCAATTTGAATTTTAGGAGAATGGGAAGAAACCCATCAGTATAATGTCTTTATTCTGATATGTAAATTCTGGATACACATCCAAAGTTTTTCTTTATTATTTCCATAGCTGTTGAAAATTAAGGCTTTTGCTTTAATGTTGTACCAGGTGTTACATTTGTTTGTGATTATTCTGCTAAAATCACCTTGGTTTTGCCTCTGTTGCTTTTGTTTATGATTTTATTATTTTATTTTATTTTATTTTATTTTATTTTATTTTATTTTATTTTATTTTATTTTATTTTATTTTATTTTATTTTCAGGCCTGTTTCCTGCAGTGCTGAACTTGGCTAGTAATGCTCTCATCACAACCAATGCTACCTGTGGAGAAAAGGGGCGGGAAATGTACTGCAAACTCGTTGAGCATGTACCTGGACAGCCTGCAAGAAACCCTCAGTGCCGCATTTGTGATCAAAGGAGCCGAGTTCCACATCGTATGTGTGCCATTTTCATTTTGTTCCTTTTAAAAGATTTCTTTCCAGAGCATGTAGAGACTCAGGAAACAAAACAGTAGTTCACCAGCCTGATTACTGTGAAATGTGTGTGTCTCTTTTTAACCATCTCTTCCAAAGGTATTTCAGAATCTGTATCTGATTTGGGTACTCCTCCCATGGAACTTTCTGATTAAGGTACTGAAAAGCAGAGCACTTAAGTTCACATTAAAAAAATTAAATATCTACAGCTGTTGCTGAATTCTTTTAATATACACTAACCATGAATGAAAACCAGAAAAAAAGATAACTGACTTTTACCTGCATACCTACATGTGGAATTTGAACATTTTGGCCAGTCTAAGCAATATCTGAAATTCTAGTAAATTCAGTTTCACTGAGCCAGAAAAAATAAGATAAATTAATGGAACACTGCTTGGTTTAATGCTTAGTTTTTAATATTAAAATTGATTTTTGCTAACACTGCTTTCTTAAAGATTACCCGAAAGCAAAATCAGTTTTAAAGTATGAATTTGTCATCATCTACTTCAGACATGCTTATTTCTGGTAGTTGGGAAGATTAGAACTAAGAAAATTTCTTATTCAAGTCATACAAGTTTAATTTCATGTAACCTTGTGGTGAAAGACATGAACAGCTTTAACATTATTAGATTTTCATGAGTATATTGGCACTGCAGATTGTAGAGGATGTAGGGATACTTAAGACAGCTTTTAATGGAATAGATAAAATTCTGGAAGAGGCACAGACACAGAAGCATGAAGACAATAATTTTTTTCCAATTGTATTACAATAAAACTTGGCTCAGATACATTTATATCTCATGGCATTTAAGCATGTGCTTAAAACCAGGGGAAAAATAAAAAAAAAAAACCCAAAAAACCCCACCTAATCTGTCTGCTAGTTCTAGACAGGATGACCTATCTGTGGCTGTAACTTTCCAGACAGAAGCTTGTTTAGGTTCTCCTTAGAAACTTCCTCCCATGGCCACACTTTCTAGTGTGGCTCACTCATTACATCGCTCAAAATAAAGTGTTTTTCTAATAGCTAATCTGCATCTCCTTGCCAAAGTTCATGTACCTGTTTCCTAAGTTCAGTCAATACAAGGAATGGATTATTATTCCCTTTTTCTTAAAAAAAGCATTTAATTAATTGAAGGGTGATGGTATTGTTCTATCTAATTTCTACACCAAGCTATCTTTTCTTTCATTCTCCTCATAGGTTTTATCTTCTAGAAGATAAAATTCAAAGAACTGCATGAATTGCAGTTCTTTGAATTCTCTCTAGAAGCTTTCATATTTATTAAACTTCACCTGAGCTCTTACTAGCACTATACAGAGATCCAGGTTAGCTTCAGAATAACCATATGTTCCTGTTCATGTGCTTTACTTTGAGATTTCCCATTGCTAATGGTGAAACACCACTGAGAGGGCAGTTAGCTGTCCCTTACAAACTTCAGATGCTTTCTTTTCCTGCTAAATTTTATAATTGTGAAGCTATTTATAATTGTCCCAGTGTAGACTACTTAATTTATCTGAAGAGAGTTACAACCTTTTTTTTTTTTTCCTGATTGTTTTCCAAGTTTCAACATCTTCTTTAACTTTAGGAAATTCCACCTTCTGAGGAAAGGTCACATGATTCTTTAGCAGTAGACACATCCAATTACATTATAGAAGTGTTTCACTCAGAAAATAATTCAGTTTTTGGAAGCATTCTGACAGAGAGACTGAGCAAAAGATTTCCTGTTTTACAGATGGGAATTAGAGACACATGCACATTACCCATTTTTTTTTCCTATATGAAGCTTGCTTATTTCCAAAATCAGACCTAAACCAGAGATACTGCTTTGTCATGTCTATGATGTCAGACAGTGTACACTAAAATATTTGTATACACACAGACATATATATGTGTGTGTATATATAAAAAACCCATCTGAATGATTTATATCTATGTTTCCCCTTTTTCCTACTCTCTTCTAAATTTGAATGAGACCAGCTTCATGATATTTGGTCTTTTGTGACAATCATATCTCAAGGTCTTTGCATGTTCAATTGGCGAATGGAAGTGCCTTGTTTAAACAGAGATGGCTTGTTAATAGGAGAACCATGTAATATAACCAGACTTAAAATGATCCCCCTGAAATGTGTGAGTCTGGAGTTCTTCCCCTCAATTACTGTAGTAGGAAATGAACACAAATTCCCTGGTTAATCACATGTGAGTCCAAATTAAAGTTCACAGTTTGATGGGCTCACTCTCTAAGTTCTCCCTCTTGCCATCCATCAGGGAGATTGGTCCTTGAACTGCATTTGCAATCCAGTCCTTTTTAGAAATATTTCATTTTTTTCCCCTTACCTTTTAAATAAGCTAAACATGCCAGCAATTAATCAATTTTCAAATTAATTATGATTAAACTTTCATAATGGTGATTACAGTTAATTGTTGATTCATCTCCCAGTCCTCCTTCTGATGATTTACCTTTATATCAATTTCATCTGAAGAGACTTAGATCAAAATTTCCAATTAGATAACTTCTGTCACAATCACCAAAAAGCCCTGAATTTGATTTAAAGCTGATTTTTGCTGCCACTCATTTAAAGCCAAGATTTGAGAAAATTATCAGAGCTGTGGGAACTGACAACATGTAAAGAACAGGGTGTGCTTTGCTTTTCTCTTCAATATAAAGCTACCTATGGCTTTATCAGTTGTAGTACCAGGATTCTAACTTGCAAATGTTACTGCACAGTAATTGAATAATATTTAAATGAAATTTTGGCATTTTCAATATTGAGGTTTTATGCCTTCACTCACTCCCACAAAGCACTTTAATTGTATCTTTAAATATGTTCAGGCATTCTGGTTTCTCTTAATGAGCTAGGACTCTTGTCCTCCACAGGTGGTTGATATTGCAAAAAAACCAGAGATACAAAGACTATCAATCTGGCTGGTTGATATAAGTAATAATAAAAATAATAAGTAAATTAATCAGTAATTATTAGCAATTCTAGGCCCATCTAGTAATGAATCATATTCCAGTTTTATACCAAGGGAAACTGACAGTTTAGAAAGTCATCCATAATAAGAGATGTGGGGTTTCCTCCTTAATTCATGTTCTTGCAAACAGAATTTGCATAGAGGAAACTTACTGTATTTGAATTTCCTCTGGGTTATTTTCCTCATAATGCACAGGCTTGCTCTGAAAAATTAGGGACTTCAAAACATAGATCCTTGTACCTTTTAAAATTGTGATTTTATACTTCTCCATTTCATACAGGAGAGAAAGGCAAAAGGTAACCTGGAAATATTGAGTGTGATTTTTCCTCAGTCTAAATAACTAATTAAAGTACTAAGTAAGCAAATTTTGATACTGTAGAAGATCTTGAAATTCAGGAAAAATTCAATTCTGTAAATAAATTTATATCCCTCTTATTTAGGATTCATTTGGGACACTGCAGCAGAGTAAATACAGACATGAAAAATAATGCATCCTGGACCTTGATATGGACTATAACCAAATAAACATTTATATTCATATATGTGAGTCAGAAAATTTTTCAGCTGAAGAATATGTTCTGAAATGATTTCTGAATCATTTCCTCTGTAATGATTTGGGAATTATTTCCTGAACTATTTCCATGTGCACTTAAAAATGTCTTAGAAATGCCAGTACCAGTATTACTTTAATCTCTGCTTTTCTTACACGCCATATCTCAGGTTTTTGATTTGTCGTTTCTGTTGCAACATTTGATGTCTTTGCAGTACTTGAAATTTTGGAAGAGTGCAGGAAATGTTTACTTGATTTAAATGCCTGCATTTTCTGTTGGATCAGGAGAGCCTTCTGCAATTAGATGTTCTGAATGACCTTGTGAACATAACCAAAATTAAACAACTAAAATTAGATCAGTATTCCAATAATAATAAGCATGACTGGTGGCCCAAGAGTAGAAGATAAACTAATTTATTCTTTTTTCTTTTTGAAGTCCCGCCTCATTACTTCTGCAATTGTCTTAAAGCATAGATTTCAGATCTTAAAAATAAGTAAATCTTCTAATAGTTTTGAGATTTATTTATATGTTCCTGCTGTTCTAACAGAACGACACCCGATAACAAATGCAATTGATGGCAAGAACACTTGGTGGCAAAGCCCTAGCATCCAGAACGGAATTGAGTATCATTATGTGACCATTACGTTGGACCTCCAACAGGTAGACTTCTATTTGTTTGTTTCTGGGCTTGCTTTCTTGCATGATAGATCACCTGGATTATCTTAATTTTTGCTCTGTGTTGGTTTCCTATATGAAAACATGACCAATTTTTTTCCTGTAATTTTCTGTTGTTTATATGGATATGACTGACCCATTCACTGTAACAGAATGTGCCAAATGAAAAGAAAAAAAAAAATTAATATATATTTTTACGAAGTTATGCTGTTTTAAGTACCTTTATCTATGAATCTGAAGTATTTCGAGGGTAGGGATTTTTAGACCTGGAAGAGCCTTTGAATCCTGGAAGAGTAATTAACATTCTGGCTTTGGAGCCCTCTTGGCTAATGGCAGAAACAATCCTACATCTGTGGTTTTAGCCTTATATATGCAAAAGTATTCAATGTGCATTTCTCTTTGAAATAGGAGAGCTAAAACTTTTACAGAAGTTTGAGAGGAGGATCCTGTGCATTAAAGAGGTGTAGGGCATTTTTTAATGTGTCTTTTAAATTTTCAGAGTTATTTACTGGTTTGCTTTTGCAGCAAGGAATTGTGCCTCTTGTTGGTTGTGATCTGATAATATGCAAGTAGCTCTCAGGCATTAGAAATAAATTCCCATCCTTGTTTTCCATCACCCTAGAAATTTTAGTTGTGTGGTTGTTTAGCTTAGGTCTTCTAAACTAGGGCTTTACAACTCCTATTTTTTCTCCTGCTATTTCATCATCTAGATTATCATCATAAATTAGCAGATTTATGAATTTATGAAAGTTTTAAGTTTTCTTATGTATTAAAAGCTAGCAAATAAAGCATCAGTGATGATACTGGAGAAAAAAGTATGGGTTGTTCTAATGTATTTAAAAGGCTTCTTCATGTGCCAGCTGACAACAGCGTGAGAATGCTGCACTGTGTGTGGCATGGGTTTGGGAGTTTTTTGTTACTGTTTTTTAAAAATGAGACAAGGATCAAGTCTGACCCGGTTTCTTTCCCATGTCCTATTACTAACTGTTCAAAGAAAACTTGGCAGTCCTTCTGCAGCTCTAAAGCTGATACCTTCTCTTAAGCCCATTCATTTGTTCTTGGCTGAAATAGGAGCAGTGTTGAGGATGTCAGAGAGGTGGGATAAGACCCTGTGTCACTAATACTATCTGGCACACCCTTTATGATCTGAGTAACCCATGTGGTTAGGAATGCACACGATTTTACTCACCACTGTACAGGAACAGAACAAGTATTGTTCCCCAAAATGTAGCAAAAGGTCTGCTGCAATTTGCATGGCTCTTGGACTGCTCAGTAAGCAATAAGTGTTTGTGTCTTGAGAGGTATTAGGAGTTTTTGTTTGCTTATCCAGGAATTTCATAGTCAGAGCATTATAGACTATTAAAGTAACCGGTAGAATATGAAATTTCTCTTTCAGCTTTTCTTTTGTGTAGTAGTCAGTATGAATGGTGAAGGTCACCAGATATGTCTGTGACCTCACTTAAAAGAAATTCCATTCTTTACCTTTGGCTTTTAGGAGATTCAGTAATTGCTATGTTTGTGTTGATGAATTCTTCCTATAAGTATAAAAATGCTTAATTTCCCTTTGTGAGATAGAAATAACAAATGACAAATCCACAAGTAATGGACTGAAAATTGCAGGAATGCATTAGTTCTTATGTTATTAGTGGTAATTATGATAGTACATGGAATGCTTTTAGCAATCCCAATTTCATGAAAAAATCAGGAAAATAATTACAATTTCCTCGTTTATATAGTGCTTGGCCTTTTGGGGCAGTGACTTTTTTTTTCCTTTACTTTGTTGTGCAGGGAAGCCATATAAAAATGATGTATACTATTTAGCAATAGCTAATGAACTAGAAGTAACATATACTTAATGTTAGAACAAGCTCAAATATTATTGGTCCTGTTGAGAAAAATGTAGTATGTTTTCTTGTTTAGTCTCAACAGTTGAGTTTCTCCTTAATGCTTACAAAGAGATTTTATCTAATGGAGTCTAGGTTTATGATTCATTGGAGGATGCTTGAAATTTTTACTCTATATATTATTAAAATATGAGTTGAAAACTGGAACTATTTGGTTTTGAGCATCTTTGAAGATTTGCTCTAAATCCTTCACTTTTTCCCACTTCTTAGCCATTATAACAAGTCTATATCACAAGAAAATTATGGAACTCCATTCATACCTGTAAATGTGAGATTATTTTTTACAGTGCTTTTTATCCATCAAGTGCATAGAAGGTCAAAAATAGAGAGTTATTTAGGAGTTTCTCACATGAATTTAAATGGAGGTTAGAGTGACAGGTTGAGATACCTTGGTAGAGCTAAGTTTGGAAGGGGGTGGTTCACAGATGGGCTAGGTACCAAGAGAAGCAGTCTGCTGTTCTGCAGCTCTTAGTCCTGCTGGTTGGGGAGAGTCTGTCTGCTCTGCCTTAAGAGTGTTGGGCAGTTCAAGTGCAACAGAGGTACTTCAGGTCCCACGAGTGCAAGGTTTAGCAGGACTGAAAATGGGCCTTCTCTTCGAGGATTTCAGAGCAGGGAGTTGGAAATGGAAATGCTTAGACGTCCAGGGAGAACATATTCCCTGTAGTAGTGCTATTCCCAAATCCTCAATTAGTCTTAATTTCACAGTGATGTGGAAAATAAGTGTAGTATGTTTAAAGAAAACTGGCAAATTCACCAGTTTTGCCAAAGGAAGACCAGTTGGCATTTTGCGGTGAAATGGTCAGCCCATCTGTTTCTGATTTCTACACACATCAGGAGCAAGGATATTGGCTATTTCCTTGATACCTCTCAGTTACTGGTGCCAGGAGCATGTTTATGTGGTTTTAGATGTTTTTGCTATACACTTCATATTTTTTAAATTATGCAGGAATATTTTATATTTAGAATTAGAATTTAGGTTGGATTTAGATTTAGAATTGTAGATTTGTGGAATGCAGGTGGACCCAAAGTTAACATTCTGGCAGAAATTTTTGGATTTAATAACTATGTCTTCATTGCTTGAGACTGTGGAGGATCAGTTCAGTGTCCAGGTGATGCTTTCCAGGCATACATATCTGAAAGAAAAGAAAGTAATGGATAGTCTACAGAGCCTTGTAAGCTGCAAGAGCAAGAATAACTGATCAACCTATTTAGCTGTTTTTCTCTATAACGCTTGCACTTCATCAGTTTAAGTTTTCTAAGCTCTGATAGCATGCAGCTCTTTAATTTTATCTTTTCATCCTGTCCCCTACCCTTTTCTGTAGGAAGGGAGGAAGGAGTCTAAAAAATCATATTCTGACTCTATGTAGAAACCACTGCAGTCACCATCCCTTCCAAAGGCAGTCTCAGAACATCTATTACAGGAATTATATCATACAGCAAACTAGTGGCAGAGACCCATGAATTAATTAAATCTGCATCCCTGCCTAATTAATTTTTTTTTCTTAAAGAAGAAATAACCAGGCCTTTGAGTCTTGAGCATTTCAAAGTTGTTGCATGTTTTTTGGATTATGGAACAATCTCCCTGTTATCTGGTTTCAAATTACAACAATGGAACCTATTGTTTTGGTGTTTATACAGTTGAAGCCCACAATAAGGTCCACTTCAACTAATCCTTTAGGGATTGACTGAAGGTAATCTTACAGCCACAGTGAAATAAGAGGTAAATCGGATGATATTTGACAACATTACTTCTTTTAATACAAAACTGTAGGTTTTTTATTTTAATTTATGACAGTTGACTGGACAGTGACTAAGGAATCAAAACAAGTTGAGCAACAAAGCCATATTAAATTAGCCTTTGCACATTAGCTGCATTGTCATATAGAGTTATGCCTATCACAGGGGCAGTAATTGGTTTAATGTTATATATTCTTTTCTCTGGAATATCAATTTTCCACAATTTTCTCCAATATTCCATTGGGGAAAAAAGTTACATATTTCTGTTTAGTAACTTCTGATATCAAATACCAGAACAGCTAAGGAAGTTAACTATACTGTTTAGTCTTGGGGTATAAGAACCAGTTTAGTAAAATGAAGTGCTGTTTGGTCTTTAGGTGTTAAATTTCTATATATATGAAACATTTTGTTTAGATGTTCAATTAATATTTTCCTTCTCTTTTTTACCATTAACTGTGGGCTTAAAATGCTTTCAAAACTGTTTTTGTAAAGGTAAGGCTTGAAGCTTCTCTTCATCCCCAAACCAGAAAGTAGTTTAACAGAAATAAAGTTTAGTGCAAACTTGGACTTCTCTCCAACAGATGACAGTCAGTTTTGTTCATCTTCAAAATTTTTTTTTCTAAAGAGAAAACAATGAAAAAACCCAAATCTGTTGAGACTATCATGCTGCAATTCCCTGATTGCCACTCCTCTCCTCACTGGTGAAAGAGAGATGTTTCTGCACTTCTTGTTCTGGCATCTGTGTTGCCAAGCAGGAAACCAGATGTACCTTGGTATTGAAAACTATGTCTTGTTTTGTTGTTTGGGGTGTAGATTCTGCCTTGCCTATGTGAGGTTTTATTGCCAGCCTGGGGGAGGGGGCAGCCAACACTGGGTTGGCTTCAACACTGTAAAACCTCAAAGTGTATGGTACTGATCTATGAGCTACAGTCCAAGCCTGCAACACAGTGCTGTCGTCCTCAATACTTGTTTTTAGTGTTCCTTGCTCATGAATCATTCTGTTTTGAAGTTATATAAACACTGGGAATTCAAAAAACAAATTATCTCAAAACTAAGTCCCATTTTCTGTCTCAGTTACACCTAAGTGGTAAAGGAACTATTGAAGTGACAGCCTGAAAGAACTGAAACCATGAAAATTACTTTTGAATCAATTAAAGAAAGAAAAAGGAATGAGGTGTTCTATTTTAATAAAGTCCACAGCCAACTTTTAGACAGGTATGTTAGTTACAATACTCACTTTTTAATTTCTTTTTTCATTACCTTCATAGGCTTGAATCTTACCATTTTAGTGATTCCCTTAAGTTCTTTAGTTTTACAGTTTGCTGGTAATGAACTAACTAGGTA